AGCAGCCTGACGGCCAGCCTGTCTGCAATACTGACATCTCATGGCCAAAAGAAGAAGCTGCTGCTGCTTCTCCTTTTTCTCCTTCTCCTCCTCCTCTTCCTCATCCTTCTTTTTCTCCTCCTCCTCCTTCTTCGCCTGAAAAGTTTCCGTATGTACCACATTACCGCAAAAGTACAGAGTATTACACCCAAGTGGTACGTCACACATTTGCAAACTCAATGTGACTGAAACTTTAATGCACTTCAAAAAAGCCAGGAATTTGGATCCTTTCTTCTGAGTCTGGATTTCTACAGCTGGTGCAGAAGTGGTGCCAGCCAGTGAAATGGATCTGGTCTGTCTGAGCATTGTTACACCACGGGGTTTCATTGCATCTGTTTTGCTTAGATAAACATGTGGCCTCTTCCCAAGACTCTAAGGCTGCCCAGAAGCAAACTTCTGGGGAAGCGTGGAAGCTGCTGCAGGTTTCTTCAGACAAAGCATGGAGAAGCCCTAAACATGTCTTCCCCACCTGTGATGCATTTCCTTCCCATGAATACCTTGACACATCTTTCCCCTTCTTCTTGTTCCAGATCCCAGCAGTGAAGCTCAATGAACTCCTGGAGGACTTTTACATCACCGTGAAGAAAACAGATGGGTCTGACTTTCTAGCCATGTCTCTCCACACTATCCAACGAGGCCTGGACCGGATCCTCAAGAATGCTGGTGCTGGTTTCTCCATCACCAGCAGCACGTTCAGCTCTTCCAGCAGAAAGCTCAAGGAGAAGCTTAAGGTCCTGAGCAAGGCTGGGATGTCTGGTGCCTGCTTTCGCCACGTTGTCTACTTCTCCCTTTCTGACGAGGAAGAGATGCGGAGGACGGATGCCTGGGAGATGACAGCGCCGTAGCCCTGCTGTCCACGGTGGTGAAATACAACAGCCAGTACCTGAACACGCGAACCTTACAGGACCATGCGGACTTAATGTTTGGCATCATTGAATTGCTCAAAGACTCCCAGAACAGGCCGTTTTTTGCCAAAACAGATAGCGTGAAGCAAGAAAACAGGGTGAAGGCGAACAGAGCGTGTAACGGCCGGATCTGCCACGAGCACTGAAAAGGGCACAAGCTCTGCCCATACTGCCTCCTCTACAAGTACATGTACGTACATTGGCCCCCACCGCAGATGGAGGCCAGGTCTTCTTTCTACCTGATGGTCCGGGAGGAGGTCAGCAGCATGGGGAACGTCTGGTACGAGGAGCAGAGGATGGGGCTCCGCTTCCTCAGCGGTGTCGTCCCCAGGCTGGTGAAGAAAGTGAAGCTGGAGCACTGTGAAAATTCTATTTTTGTCTCCTTCACTCAGGCTTCCAGGAAGTTCGTTCCCCTTAGCTCTTACCAGTAACTGTCCTCTGTCTGGTCTCACCAGCCAGCGTCCCAAGAAAGTGCTTCACCCAGTGGCTTTAGTGTGATGTGAAGAGGGTGAGCTGCTTTCAACAAGAGCAAGAAGTGGAAAGACAGGACATTAAATTTTTCCTGAGGAGGACTGCACATGATGCGGTCCAATTTTGGGGATGACTACAGCCTTGTTCTGAAAAGCAGGGGGGCAGTGATCTCCTCCACTGCCAGGTCTTCTGAGCAAAGGGTTGGCAGAGAGCTTTTTCCTCATCGGCGGAAAGCAGTGCGTGTATCATGGATTTTCCTCCTTAGCAAGCATAGCTAGGAGAAAGGAGACTGAGTTTTGGGGACCAAGAACTCTTGAAGCAGAAGTGCCTATGCTTTCTTTCAGAGCTACTGTACAGAAGTTACTCTCTTGTGAACCATATTTTTTGATGGTTCACAGTTTTGTCCACTTGTTTGGTGTATTGTAAATATAGTTTTTTCAATACCTGGTCATTTGCACTGGATATGTAGGTATTGCTAGAAACTACTATTGGCTTTACCAAATAAGAAACAAACAGATTAAATTGATTACAGCATCCCCAAAGGAGAGCATTTTCAGTCCGTCATTTATAAATGGTGAGCACATAACTCAAAAATCAGCAGTTGGGGGCTGTCCAGGTTTTGCGACATCTTAAAGGGGGCTTATATCAGAAGTCAAATGCTCAGCATCTTTTGAAAATCAAAGCACTCTAAGGTGTCTCAAGTCTGGCATCCAAATTATGTAATTTTCAAAAATCAGTGGTCAATTGTAAAAATAATTGCCTTAAAATTTTACAGCTACAGCTTGGTCCACTTTCTGTTGAGAGGAAAACTTCATTTCAGCTGGAGCTGTGGCAAGCCTTTAAGTCACAAAAAAGGAAACCTGGAAGACCTAGAACAGAGTTGGGGACATGCAATTTGGCAATGTGCAATCTGCTTCTATTCTAATGGAAAGATATGGCTGTTTTTTCCCACCAGGTTGCAGGGCTGTGGGAGGATTGATGAGGTTTACCGAGCCCACTATACAGTCATTGATTTTCTATTACTGTATAACACCTTGAAATCACAGCTTCAGTCCAATAAGTACCTGATTGCAAAGATAAAATAATGACATAGTTGTACTCTTTTTGAAAGACAGCTTCTCCCTCCCCCAAATTGTTTGAATTCTCTTTTTTTAAAATATTAGTTTGATTTGTAGGATCTCTTTGTTGTAAAATATAGTATTGCTCCTGTCTTTTAAATGCGTTTGCACAGTGTTATTTTAATTTTAAGAAAGTAATTTGCTGGATATTGAAACACAGTGTAGCATCAACTTCAGCAGGGGAAACATCTGCTAGGAAAAGCTGCTACCCACAACCCTCATAGGCTGTGGACATTATTTCCCACCGCCAGGGCGTTTTTTAAGAGTCTGGTCCTGGGAAGCCTTGGCAGCCTTTGCTGGAGGAGGCAGAGGATGTTCAGAATTTCCAGACAAGCTCCTGTGATGGAAGTAGGAGCTTCTGCCTGAACAGGGTTTCAGGTGTGCATTGTGGGCATTGCTCCCAGAGGAAAAATGCAATTTGTCATCATTTCCTTTTGTTTCATGGGCGATGGTAAAGGGCATTCTCTGTTAAAAAATACCATTCTGAGTTCTGCAGAGCAAATCACCAGTTAAGACTGAGGAAAAGCAGAAGGGTTTCTTTGTCTTTGAAAGGAGCAGAAGAAACTGTTCTAACACAAACCATTTTGAAACCTGAGTGCACCCAGAAAATCAGACACTTTGTTCGGTAACTAATTGAGGAACCTGTTCTTCAGAGGTGCTGACCTGCTGGAGCTCCTCCTGCAGTCACTGCCACGGAGCAGTTCCCAGGCTGGGACATTCTGGTGGCTGTTGGCAGTAAAAGCAGTCATGGTGAGGTTTCCTTAGGCACGAGTAGGAGGTACAAAAGCTCAGTGGCTGTTCCTTTAATCTCTAGAAGTTTTTTGTCCTTAATTTCTTTGCTCAGTTGAGCAAAGTTGGCTGTATTTGGTGGGTCAGGAATACTCTGTGGTGGGCTCCAAAGCCCTGACCCTGTGGCAGCACAGGTCTTTCCTGGGGAAGACCTCAGCTCCCATCTCTGCCCATGTGCCCAGGGGAAACCTGACATTACAGGAGAGGTGGGCACTTGCCTGGGTTCAAACCTCTGCAAAAAGAACAACTTGTTCCATACATTAGCAGAGGGAACATATAGAGCAGTAGGACTGGTTGCTTTAAGGCATGGTGATAGCGACTGCTGTGGTTTCTCTCCACGATTGCAAGCTTCTCCCTGTTCACCCCAACAGTGTCAAGGCACTAGGAGCAGTGGCTGTAACTAAACAGCACTCCTCTGCCCATGCATATGTTGTTTGATAAATCCAAAAGCACTTAACTGATGTCAAATATCCCAAGCGGGAGGATAGTTCCTTTTCCATGTTTTGCAAATGACTGAATATTCTATATATGAAAACTGAGTAAATCCCCAGGTTGGTAGGTATCACACAATTCAGACTGACTTTGAGTTATCCTGTTTGTTGTCCTGTTCTTGTTCTCCTGCAGTGGCATCTGATACCATAGAGGAAGTGCTCACAGTACATCACAGGGCTGTGAGTTTTTTTTTAATAGTGACAAAAAGTGGTGAAAAAGAGAAAAAAAAATGTTACTGAGTGCTTTTGTGAAGAAGAGTTGGTCTTGATTTTGTCTCACAGTATGTCTTAATCCTTTGTCTGATGTCCTTAACTTCGACAATTTGATGTCTCGTCTCACTTACAAGCAGCATTTGTTCTGAAATAAAAGCACTATCACCTTTGTAAACTGTGGAACAATTAGGAACTGAACTGTTATGGAAATGACTTGGATATGGGGAAGAATATGTAGTGTGTAACTGTCAATTTTTGTTACAAGGAATATTTGCCTATTAGCCAAACTTACTCTTCAGTACTGATGGTCCTTTTTTTCTGGCAGCTCCTCAAATCCATGATCTCAAAACCTATGTTTTATCAAACAGTATTTAACTCATTTGACTTCTTTGGCTCAGCATATAATTATCTGCATTTCAGCAGTGGTTAATGTGCTCGAATGAGACCAGCATCGTTATTAGTATGTTAGGTTTATCTGAAGGAGACAATTTGCAATTCCTACCAAATGGCAAAAAGACAAGGCCAAAAGAGGTGTGATATAACTTGCCGAAGGCCACAAGGTGGGTCAGTAGCAGGGTAAGGCCATTGCCTCAGCCACGCCCACTTGTGGCACCCCTCATCTGCAAGGTCATTATTGATAAATGCAGCTCCTCTGGGAGTCCTCTAAGAGCTGGTGCTCAAGAATCACCTAGCCAAAAAGAAAATCAGGATCAGCACTTACCCTTTTTGACTATTAGCCAAAAATCAAATGCAGCAAAGGACAAAGAAACACCCCCTTTGCATCTCTGGCACAGCCCCATTTCCAGCCAAAGCAGGTATCGTCTATTCTGTGCCCAAACACCCAAATTCCAGGTAGATGGGGTTTATAGCAGCCTTGTGCTTCTTGCAGTGCACTGGAGAGCGAGGCTATGAGCTTTATGTTTCCAGCTGTGTCTCAGACACTGGGCTGTGCTCTGTCCTTCTTGAGAAGCTAGCTCTTGCAGACTTCCAGCCGGGCATGCATTGTTCAGTGGGTGTTTCTTGCACTCCACACCTTCCTTTAAAATACCTCTCAGCAAATCCTGACTTTATTAGTTTTCACGGGCCGTGGAGATTACGCTGGCACAACATTACTCCTTATTCTGGGTTCTAAGGTAGATAGGATTACGGTTCATTCAGAATTTGCTGTTAATTGCAGGGATTTTATTTTGCATTCCCTCCCCACTCACCCCAGACCAAACACATCTATGTGAGGCATACGCTCACCCTGGCAGGCTACAGAATTATGCCCGTTATCAAAATACCGCCTAGTTGAATGACTAGCATGGTAAGACTTCAGGGTTTATGATTTTGAGGCCTTTGAGGCTTTTCTGCTTGTTTGTCAGGTTGAGCACTCATAATTGCTAGTTACTTTGGAAGACATTGGCATAGCTAAGAATGACCACCATTGCCATGGGTGAAAGGGGACATGCATACATCTCTCCTTATCAGGGTGGGGCTGTGCACTTAAGCATCTTATAGCAGACAGACCTGAGGTTTTAGTTTTAACATTATTTGTCATCAGGATGGATGATTACTACAATGTCCTCCTACAACATTGTGTGCTGGGGAGGGAGGCACATGTTCCTGTTACACAGAACAGAGAGCTAAGTAGAGTCAGAGTGTGTGTTTATATCTTCACTTTGAAATGGGTCCTCCTGACAGTTGAACTTACAAGGGCATGGAGCCAGCAGAGCATCTGGCACAATGCATTCAGTCTACTTGGTTTTAAGTTGAAATTTAGTGATGTTTCAGTTTTGCTCCAAGAAAATGTTTTTCTCAAGCCAATGTAAGAAATACTTTTAATTCAATTAAGTAAAGCGTTCCATTCTTTTGCAGACTTTCAGTTACTCGGAACATTGATTTCAGACCTTATCTGCTCAATACTATTTAGTAAGTCACTGAGCTTTCCTGAAAAACAAAACAAAACCAAAAATGCCACAGACTGCAGTCCCGAGCCAAGCCATGCAGAATTATACTGCACATAGGCAGAGTCCAAAGAACCTTGCATTTGTAACCCACCCACATGTTTCCTATGGACTCAAAGATGAATGAGAAGGGAAAATAGAAACAGTTTAAGTAAGTAAGAATAGAAACAGTTTAAGTATCATTTACTTTAAAAAAAATCTCATGCACTGTGCTTTTTCCCACTCCATTTGTTGTCTTTTTGCCAATCTGATGACTTGCGGGGGCCCAACATAAAGGAGTTGAATGCTTTGGGTGGCAAGGCTGTAGTCCATTTTGCTGGACTGGAAGTCTCTAACTGCCATGGTGGCCCAGGGGTAATTGCAATTTTCACTGTAGACAGGCTATTCACTACACAGAGAGTGA